TGAGGCCAGCCTAGGTGCCTAGTGAGTTCTACGACCTTCTGATATTCTGTCTTAAACAATCTCCTAAAAGAGAACAACCAAAAAAACAATTAAAAAAATAAAACCTTCAGCCGGGCTGTGGTGGCGCACGCCTTTAATCCCAGCACTTGGGAGGCAGAGGCAGGTGGATCTCTGTGAGTTCGAGACCAGCCTGGTCTACAAGAGCTAGTTCCAGGACAGGCTCTAGAGTTACAGAGAAACCCTGTCTCAAAAAAAAATAAAATAAAATAAAAATAAAAATAAAAATAAATAAAACCTTCAACCTCAAGATCATCCAGTTCATTATAGTACATTTCCACTTTGTTGTGACAATTGACAATGTTTCTAAACATTTGTGACCCAACAAGCCAAACAAAACAGTCATTTATCTAAACAAACAAATAAAAACAAAGCACATTTGCTGGGTGTGTGCACTCATGCCTTTAGTCCCAGCACTTAGGAGGCAGGCGGATCTGTTTAGTTGGAGGCCTGGTCTACATAGTTCCGGAACAGCCAGGACAACATGTTGAGACTTTCTCTCAAACAATGTTCATTCCATCACTATATAACATAGACTCTTATCTTTTAAAATAAAAAGAAAAATATTTGAGAACAGAGGATAAACAGTATGTACTCTTAGAAGCATTCAGCATTCATTCAACCACTTCTCCCTGGGGGTGGGGGCCACAGACACAGCCGTGTACTTTGATACATGACTACTGAGCACTGGGATTCAACCATAGGAAAAACCGAAACCTTGCAAACTCAGAACAGGGAAGGTCATAGCAAGATAAGGAATATGGCCACCTACTGCTAGCATCTTCATTTATAAGAGGACCAGTCACCTCCCCCCAGATATAAAGAATTTCACCTACCAGAGCCCCCATAGAAGGCTGTATCCTGGAGCCTCCTCAAGAACAAAGCTAGCCCTGTGTTTATACTGCTCTGGGAGAAAAGCTGCAAACCCAAATCTGGGATCCCATAGACTGCTCTGAGAGTGGGAAAGCCTGCACAACCCATGGGAGTCAGATAAGTCTACCTGGGACCTCATAGACATTCTACTATTCCGGCTCAGCACATGGCTGTCTCACAAGTCAGAGTACACAAGAAAACTTTTGCCCAAACCAGCAGGGAGTGCACAGTGGGGATCTGGTGTCATGATGCAGAGGCAAACCATGGGTACTGCCCTCAAGAACCACAGGCATAGCCAGGCCTGTGTACTTTCCCACAGGGACTAAGGTAAAGAGTAGGGTCCTGTATGGTTCACACTATCCCTCTCCCAGGTCTGTATATGGGCTCCAATCTTTAACAAACCAGATGGGGAAAGAGAACCAAGATTTCCCTGATTCTCCCACACACAGGTGTACTGATACTGTGTCAAGCAATGTTGCCCCAGCTCCACTGCCTCCCCTAAGACACACAGCTTAAGGTCCCAAGAGAAACTATGCCCAGTGCCAGCCACATTCTGTTCTGTTTAGCTCCTGGTCAAGTGTCAAGTGTCCCATCCCCAGTAGAGCACAGCTCCAGCTCATAGTTAGGCACATACAGGGTCAGCAGATCTAAAAATCACACAAACTTTGCTTCTACAACACCTACGTGGGTTCCCTAAATTGACCAAGCTGTGCCTTGACAAAATTTGTGTGCTGGTACCATGGGGGTCTCTCTATAAAGTCAGAAAGAAATTTGTACAGTTCTTTAGTAAAAATCTATTAAAACTGAGTCAAGAGATATAAAAACACTTAACAGATCAAGAGCAGGTATCAAAACAAAGCTCTTAACAAAAGGTCTCCCAAGATGCACCTCACCATAAAAAGAGACACTGCTCACTACTCTAGGGTAAAAGGGTGAAAAGGGAATTCTAAGCAAATAGACCTAGGAAACAGACAAGTACTCTTAATATCTGACAAAATAGACTTCGCTCTGTGAGTTCGAGACCAGCCTGGTCTACAGAGCTAGTTCCAGGACAGGCTCCAAAGCCACTGAGAAACCCTGTCTCGAAAAAACAAACAAACAAAAAAATAAAAAAAAAAAAAAAAAAAAAAAAAAAAAAAAAGAGAAAGAAAGAAAGAGAGAGAGAGAGAGAGAGAGAGAGAGAGAGAGAGAGAGAGAGAGAGAGAGAGAGAGAGGAAGAAAATGATCCATCAAGGGGACGTTACAATTTTAAGCATATGCACCAAACAATGAGGTGCTCAAGCTTGAAGAACGAATACCCCTGGAGAGTTAGATTTATCCCAGCATGACAGTAGTGCGTGACTTTAATATCCCTCTCACCAACTGACCGGCCATCCTGACAGAAAAATAAACAGAAATACTGAATTAAATTACTTCATAGGTTAAAAAAACTTAGACATCTGTAGAACATTCTACCCAAATATTGCAGAATATATAGTGTATATTCTAAGAGAATTGCTTGTGTTTTCTCTGGTAACACTGGGATAAAGCTATAGCCAACAGTCCTAGGATCTCTAGAACATATGCAAATTCACGAAGATCAAATAAACTGACGAATACTGAGTGGAGTCATTGAAGAAATCAAAAGGGAACAAAGGTTCCTAGAATTGAATGAAGACAAACCACAACATAGAAAAACCATCAGATGTAGTGAAGAGCAATCCTGAGAAGAAAGCTCACAGATCCGAGCTCCTCCATTAATAATGTAGCAGAGAACACCAGAGAGAAGAGAAATCAGGAGGCAGAGGCAGAGGCAGAGGCAGAGGCAGAGGCAGGTAGATCAGAGTTCCAGGCTAACCAAGGCTACATAGTGAGAGCTTCTCTCAAAACAATCTCTTTTCAGAGAAACCTCAAATAAGTGAATATGCCTGAGAAATAAAACACAGCAACCCCAAAGTCAGATGTAAATAAATCACTAAGATCCAGGCAAAGGGGCCAGTGAGGTAGGTGACTCAGCAGGCAAAGTCACCTACTTTTAATCTAAATTAATTAGATTAAATTAACTAGTTAATCTAAGTTCAGTGAACTGACACCCACAAGAAAAGAGGAGGAAAATGACTCCCACAGGTTGTCCTGACCTTCACACACGCCATGGTATTGTAGGCACATGCATGTACACATACATACACAAATATGTGTGTAATAAAGAGATGGAGGAGAAATTAATGAAATAAAAATAAAAAACTAAGTAAATTACCCAAATCAATAAAATGACAGAAGATAGCCATGATGACAGATATCAGCAAAATTCTGAAACTCATTAGGTTATACCTTAAAAATAAATGCTTTCCAATAAATTAAAAAATAAAAATGGATACATTTCTAAGTGTACATGACCTGCCAAAATTAAATTGAGATATGAACAGGAATGTACACATACATTACCACATACATACACTTGCAAAAAGGTAAAAAACAAAACCATACAAAACAAAAAGATGAACAAATAAATACCTAGGGCCAGATTAATTACCCCAGTGAATTTTTACCAAACCTTCATAGTAAAACTAACACCAATGCTTCTCAAACTACTGTACACCATAGGGACATTAGGAAAAGACATTACCAAACTTTTATGTGTGCGTTCTTTTTTTAGCCTACAGCACCTGATATTCCCAGGTGGCCTCCCATCCAAGTACTAACCAGGCCCGACCCTGCTTAGCTTCCGAGATCAGACGAGATCGGGCGCGTTCAGGGTGGTATGGCCGTAGATGTGTGTGTCTTTCCATGACAGGGTTTCTCTGTTAGCAGTCCTGGCTGTCCTGGAACTCCCTTTGTAGACCAAGTTGGCCTCAACCTCAGAGTTTCACCTGCCTTTGCCTCCCACGTGCTAGGATTAAAGGTGTGCGCCACCACTGCCCCACTTCCAAATTCTTTCTATGAAGCTATTATTACCCAATACCAAAACTAGATAAAAGACATAACAAAAAAAAGGGGGGAGGGAGAGTTGGGGGCTGGAGAGATGGCTCAGAGGTTAAGAGCACTGGCTGCTCTTGCAGAGGTCCCCAGTTCAATTCCCAGCAACCACATGGTGGCTCACAACCATTTGTAATGATATCTGGTGCCCTCTTCTGGCCTGCGGGGATACATGCAGGCAGAACACTTGATACATAATAAACCTTATAAAAAAAAAAAGGCGAGGAGCTGGAGAGATGGCTCAGAGGTTAAGAGCACTGGCGGCTCTTCCAGAGGTCCTGAGTTCAATTCCCAGCAACCACATGGTGGTTCACAACCATCTGTAATGAGATCTAGTGCCCTCTTCTGGCCTGTAAGTATACATGCAAGCAGAACACTGTATATGCAATAAATAAAGATTAAAAAAAGGCGGTATGGGGGGGGAGAGTAACAGTCAATCCCCCTGTTGAACATAAATACATAAATTCTCAACAAAATACTTGCAAACAAAATTCAAGAGTACACCAGGGGGCTGGAAAAACGGCTCAGCGGTTATGAGAATACTATTCTTCCAGAAGACTCAAGTTCAGTTTCCAGTACCTACATAGGGTAATCACAACTGTCTTGTAACTTCAGCTCCACGGTATCTGACTCCCTCTTCTGGCCTCTACAGGCACCTGCACTCATGTGCATGTACCTGCCCCCATAGAAATCATTTAAAAATAGTCTTAGAAAAAGAATATACCAAGCTGAATGGTGGTGGCTTACACCTTTAATCTGAGCACTTGGGAGGAGGCAGGTGGATTTCTTGAGTTCAAGGCCAGCTTAGTCAAGGCCAGCTTAGTCAATAGACTTCCAGGACAGCCATAGAGTGAGTGAGTGAGTTCCAGGATAGCCAGGGCTATGCAGAGAAACCCTGTCTCGGGGAAATAGAAAAAAAAAAAAACCAAAAAGATCACACCCACAATCAAGTTGGCTTTATTATAAAGATGCACACATGGTTTAATATATATAAAATCAGTAACTGTTATAAATTATAATAGTAGACTGGAGGATAGAAATCGAATGTCAGTAAGTCCTGAAGAAACTCAGAATAGAAGGAACATATTTCAACACAATGAGGGTTGTTTTTTGACAAACTGTCCTCGTTAGTTTTTGTTTATTGGTGGTGATTCTGTGTGTGTAAAACTTGACACAAGCTATCTGAGGAGAGGAAGCTTGATTGGAAAACCATCTCCATCAGATTGCTTCTAAGCAAGTCTGGAGGGCACTTTCCTGACTAATCAGTGTGGGAGGGCTTGGCCCTTGTGGGCAGTGCCACTCCTGGGCAGGTGGTACTGAGTGGTATTAGAACTGAGCAAGCCATGGAGTATCCGGAAATGGATAAGCAGAACTGTCAAATCTTGCCAAGACAGGGTAAGACGGTGTTGAAAATTTTCTTGCCTTTAAAAACAATCTGTCAGTTATTCTAGGCCTTAGCCAAAGTTGGTTGCTTCAAAGTTGCAAATGTGACTTTGGGTGATTGCCCAGGCAGCCAGTTGTCTCTGTGATTTGTTGCATGTTTTGGAAATTGTTTAATTGCACTTCCTAATTACTCAGGTAATATTATTTCCCTTCTCGGATCTTCGATGGGGTTGAAGACTAGATGAATGTAGTTACTTTCCTCTCATGACTTGGCCAAGTTATTTATAAGACTTAAGCTAGTTAGAATAGGATATTTGTTCTTATTGTATAAAACTTTTTAGTAGCATTAGAACTCTTATTTAAACAAAAGGGGGAGGTGCTGTGGGAAGGTGTATAGCTCGCAATTACCCGCCTACTGGGGCATGGCCTCGGACTATTTACCTGGATGTGGAAGGCATCCGGCCCCTTCCTCTCTGCTTCCCCCTGGGCCCATTTACTGTTTGGTTTGCTTTGGATCTGATTTTCATCCATCGTTCAAACAGAGAATCCTGACTAAGTTTTACCCCTTAATAAACATTGGTCTATTTCTTAGGTCTGAGCTAGTGTGGGATTCCTTTTCTCATAAGCGTCCGATCTCTCCGCCTTCACCCATCCAGTCTCGCGGCCCTTTGCACTACTCACCTGCTTCTTTTTTGTTTTGTTTTGTTTTGTTTTTCAAGACAGGGTTTCTCTGTAGCTTTGGTGCCTGTCCTGGAACTAGCTCTTGTAGACCAGGCTGGCCTCGAACTCACAGAGATCTGCCTGCCTCTGCCTCCCGAGTGCTGGGATTAAAGGTGTGCGTCCCCACCGCCCGGCTCCTAACTCACTATTCTGTTTCTTACTCTCACTGTGCTCTGCTCTCGTACTGTCTCCACTTCTCCCTCTCGCTCCCCTGCTCCCCGAGCTCTGGCCATGACCAGCCTGCTGGCCATGTTCAGATTCCCTCCTCTCTCTGCTCTGGACTCTAAGATGCTTCTGGCTGTTCTCTCATATCTATAATAAAACCATAGTCATACAAGCAGTCACATCCGCAGTTCCTTTACTGTTCCCTCTTGGATGCCCTCAAAGCATTTCCAGCAATATCAGAAACAAGACAAGGAGAGCCACGCTTGTTCCGCTCTTAACACACTATGGTATTGTTTTAGCCAGAGTAATAAGCCAAGAGAAGCAAACAAAAGCAATGCCAATAGGAAAGGGAGAAGCTAAAGTAGCCTTATTTGGTGATTCTGCTAGCTCTCATAGACTACACTGGCCTCAAACTCAGAGACCTTCCTGCCTCTGCCTCTTGAGTACTGGGATTAAAGGCATGCACTACCACCACCCAGCTGTGATTCTGTACTTAAGAGACCCTGAAGACTCTACCAGAAAACTCTTAGGACTGAAAAGCTCCCAGCAAATTGACAGGCTACAAAATTAACATCAAACAAAACAAACCAGTGGCCTTCCTCTTAGCAATAAACAAAGCGAAGGAGCAAGTAAGGAAGCACAGCCTCAAGACAACAACCAAACCTGGAGAACGGGGCTGGAGCAGTGGTTCAGCAGTTAAGAGCAGTCACTGCGCTTGCAGAGGACCCCAGGTGGGTTCGCAGAGCCTACCCAACATCCCACAGCCCTCTCTGGCTTCTGCCAGCCCCCAGTCGTAAACTCACAGGCACACACACATATAAAATAAAAAAGAAATATCCAAAAAAAATTATATATGAGTGTAAACCTAACTGAGTAAGTGAAAGCTTCTAAAATGAAAACTTTAAGACATGGAGAGGCCCCAGAGGATGAATCAAGCAGGGAACCTGGGTTCAGGGCCCAGCACCCAAAGTTTACAACCATCTGTAATTACAGTTCTAAGGAATCTGACTCCCTCCTGTGGCTTCCACAGGCACCAGGCACACAGGTGACACACATTCATATATTCAGGAAAAACACCACTTGTACACATAAAATGAATAAATCTTAAAAAAAAAAAAAAAAGGACGAAACCAAGAGTGGTGGTGCACACCTTAAACCCAGCGCTGGGGAGGCAGAAGCAGGTCAGTCTGCATCCGGAGTTCCAGGGCAGCGCGGGCTGCACAAGGAGACCCGTCTCTGCAACAAGAGATGAATTCAGGATTCAGGTCTAGGTCCTCCTAGCTGCTCCTGGGCCAGACTCACCTCTTGAAGATCCCAGGCGAAAAGGCGGAGTCAAGGATATTACCAAGCAGACAACCGATCTTCCTTGTCCTTCTCTGGTCAAGCCACTCCCCGAGAGATAGTTCACATTACCCAATCCTGCAAGGAAACCCCAACAATATTTGGACACTAGATACTTGAGGAGTGACTCAAAAAGGTTGGTTTCCATTTCCCTCTCTCTTTGCAGGAAGGCTGGGGTAACAGCTGTGGAAGGAGGAAGAGAGGCAGCCAAAAAAGCTGCAAGTTGGCCTCTGACTCAGATTTTTTACTCTTTCATCTGTTTCTAGAGATACCAAGTGGTTCCTGGGGACTCCTAGAATCCCATAAACCCTAATCCCAGCCCTCATTTGGAAGCAGAAAGAGCCAAAATTCAAAGTCATTGTTGTTTCCTATATATGGGGAATTTGACATCAGCCTTTGGTACATGAGACCCTTTCTTAAAAAAAAAAAAAAAGAAAGAAAAAAAAAAAAAAGCCAGGCGTGGCGGTATATACACTTCCAGTCCCAGGAAAGAGGCAGATCTCAAGTCTGAAGCCAGCCTGGTCCACATATCGAGTTCCAGGCCAGTTTACGTGATGAGGCCTTGTCTCGAACAACAAGACTTTCCATCAGGAGAATGGATCCCACAAGTTGTCTTCTGACATACACATGTGTATTACATAATCACATATGCACATGCTAAGAACAATGTAAAAATTAAAGTAGTTCCCCATCAGAAAACTGTCAAGGAGGTTTTGAGGGAAAGGGAAATAACAGCTTATGCTATTTAGTAATTTTCCAATTCAATTTTCTGTATATTGTGGGGAGGGTAGGAAGGCTCTGGAGAAATGGGGAGATAGGGCTGGGCTGGCTTTACGCTGTTACCCCATCACTCTGGGTCTTTCCTCAGATCACAGGAGACAAGAATCAGGGCTGGTTCCACGGCTAGACGGCAACCTCAGCCATTAAATTCCAGTTTCCCTCCTCTTATCCGGTGAGAATATGAGACTGTATAGATTGGGGGAAATACCGACTGGGTGTCCATACCGAAGTCCCCAAGTATTTCTTTGTAGATGAAGTCTTCTGGCTTGGCCCGGGTCATAGAGTGTTCTTGCCTAGTTTGGCGAAGGAAGAATTGCTTCCAACTGCTTCCTGTGCGTTCAGGAGTTCTAGGCGGATGTCACAACAGGGCCATCTTTTCAGACACAGCTTCCTGCAAGGCACAGTCACGACATCCCAGTCAGGTCACCTCCTCGGAGCCCCTGTCTTCTTGAGTGACTCAGAAGCCCCGTCCTGCCCCTTTCTTTACCTCCACAGGAGATCACTGCCTGAAACCTCAGGCCAGCTCTGCAGAAGAGAAAGGAGTCCTTAAGGCAGTCAGTAAGCCTCCCTCCTGCTCTGTTTGTTCTGTGCTGGGCCGGCCTACACAGGTTCATCAAATGCAGTCTCAGCTCTCCAGGCTTGGAGGAAGGAGGGCCAGTTCCCAAACCTTTGACTTGGGAGCCTCAAGGGTCTCACATATCAGCGGCACAACTCCACCCATCAGCTTGTTCCTTTAATTTAGCAGAATTTTGTTGTTACCATTACTGTTTTGCAACAGGGTCTCTCGTAGCCTATGACGGCTTTAAATTCACCACTTAGCTGACTATGACCCGACCTTCTGGTCCTCTTGCTTCTGCCTCCCACGTGCTTCCATTACGGGGTGCGCGCCAGCACGCCTGGCTCATTTACCAGGATTTGAGGTCTTCAGAGCGGATGATGCTAGCCCACGCTAGCCCACAAACCCTCAGCGTATCCCTTTGCTGTCCTGTAGCTCCCAGTGGTGAAGAGAAGCAAATGAGTCCCTGAGCTGCGAGCTAGTGCGTCGGAGCCGAATGGACAGGGCTGAATAAAGTCAGTTTAAGGAGTGAAGAAAGGCTGTGAGGGTGACGCTGGGGTAGCTAACTCCGTGGCTGGGGGGAGGGGAAGGCCAATGGGGCCTTTTGTAGGAATATACAAACTGGAGGCGTTCAGGCCCAGAAATGGTCAATTAGACAGCGGGAAGAAGGCGGAGAGTCTTTACCTTGTTCACCTGGGCAGCCTGGAGCAAGCTGAAGGCGTGCAGATAGGAGAAGATTTCCCATAAAGACACACTAGGCAAAAAAAATCTCCATCTTTCCTGGCCTAAGCCCACACTTGCTCTTCTCCCTGACTTGCTCTGGTTTTAAAGGCTTGGCCAAAGATGGCAGCATTTCGTGGGATTGCCACCTGCAGCTTGTGAGGCTTTGATTGAAGTCAGCTGCGGGCCTGTAGGCTCTCAGCCTGATGTACTTGCCAGAACTTTCTACAAAATATCAAGTAACACGCTCATTTTTAACAGGTTCAGTTGATTATGTGACGCCCATTAGGAGGTAGGGAATCTGTTTTTCATGCTGATGGCTACCTCGAGAACGGAATTAGACCGGTAGCGTCTCCCTCTCAGTGCTAATACAGCCCCTGAGATTTTTCATGTGTGTACTTAGCTTTCTAGTAGAAAGGGGCACCCGAGGAAGACACCTGAAGCCTGCTGCTGACCTCTGAGCACACACGTGCGAACGCGCGTGCACACACACGCACATGCACACGTGCACTCATGTATATAGCCACTTACACATCACTGCACATGAATTCCAATTCAGCCTAGGCTAAAGAATGAAACTTTGTCTCAGAAAAGAAAACCAAAAGCCTCGTGCTGATTTTATTCAAGCATATATTACTAATCAGAAATCAGAATATGTTTTTGTTCCATTTTGTTACATTCTGTGCATCTGCAGGGTAGAGCGTGTGTCCTGGACCCTAGAGAGATGGGCTCCTTTGTCCTTTAAGACAAAAACTCAAAGAAACCAGTACAAACTGGAGTGTGCACACACATAAACATATGCATATATGCACACACATAGGCACATGCATGCACACATATACACTATGGTCTTATGCATATACACGAAGACACATGCACACATACAACATAGGTCATAGGCATGGCATATATACACATAGACATGCTTTTTAGACTATGCTGTCCACTGATTCAGACTGAAAATAATTTTGAGGACTGCAGACGCCACCACTGGCTTTGCTACCACAGAGTCGGAGGTTAGAACGTGAAGTGCCCTGAGAAGCCAAAGCAGCAGAAGACAGGGCTACAGGTCACAGTACAGGCCCTAGGAGGAGCTAAATGCCTCCTGTGCTATACTTTTGTCAGTTTCCTTCCTTCCTTCTTCCTTTCTTCTTCCTTCCTTCCTTCCTTTCCTTCTTTTCTCTCTCCTTTATTTTATTTTGAGAAAGGGTCTCATTATCTAGCCCTGGCTGACTAGCCTGGAACTTGATATATAGACTAGGCTGGCCTCAGACTCAGAGATCTGTCTCTGCCTCCCAAGTGCTGGATTGAAAGGTGTGCACCACCATGCCTGGCTTTGAATTTTCTGTTTGCATGTTTGCTGAGCCAGAGGATGGTTCTGACCTCCTTTTCTGAGTACCTGTTCAACAAGAAGCTGTTATTACTCCTTATAACAACATGAGGCACTGCTACCCCAAACCCCTTAGCAACAGACATTTTCCACCCACGTGCAAGATTTGATTAGTTTTACAGTGTATACTTGCTTAAGGTTTTTTTGGTGTGTGATTGATTGAGATAGGGTGCCATCCTATGACCCAGACTGGCCTAGAATTCAAACATGAAAGCCTCCTGCCTGCAGAAGCCAGAAGAGGGCATTGGATCTTCTGGAACTGGAGTTACAGATAGTTGTGAACTGCCATGTGGGTGCTGGGAATTGAACCTAGAGTCTTGGAAGAGCAGTCAGTGTTCTTGACCACTGAGCCATCTCTCCAGTCCCTAAAGAAATTAGTTGTATTGAGACCAGTAGTTCCACTGACGGGCCATCCAGCAACGTCACCATCAAGTGACTAGAGAGACGGGCTGAGAAACGTTTTCTGTGGCCCTGATAGTCGGCACACGGTGAGAGCAGAAGATGGTCATTGCTCTAGCTTCCTGAGGCACATTAACAAATAAGTGTAAATGAGATGGGGTATGTGGGAAAAATACATTCTCTCCCAGGTCTGGTCACTGCTTGTCCAAAACCGGCAGGGCCCTGGGTCTTCTGTAAGAGCAGCATATGCTCTCAATTGCTTACCCATCCCCCATCCCACCTCACACCTTTGTCGTCAAAGGTGATACAAGTTCCAGGGTTTGGGGCATGGCTGTATCTTTTAGAAGGCATTGCCAATCAATCACCGCAGCTATTGAATAAAGACACATTTGCATGTTCACTTTGGTTGGGATAGCATAATAACCACTTCAACAACATCAGCGAGGGGCTCTGAGCAAGAAAGCACCCAGGTTCTTAACCCACTCCTGATGCAAGCAGCTGTGACCTTGCTGAGGGCAGCAGGAAGCCGGCTTTGCAGATGCTGATAATGGACTTGCGGCTTTACCAAGCTGTTGCCCTCACAATCTTCCACTTCCATGTAAAAAGTCTGGCTACTCTGCAGTTCCATAAAGAGAGAGCAAATCAAGAGATTTTACAGAGAGACAGGAAGAAGGATGCCTGAGCTCAGATTCTGCAGCAGACATATGAATACAGAAGAATCTGAGGATGACTGCAGCCCGGGACACCACCTAACTGCAACCATGCCAGACCTTGTCCTGGCTAGTTTTACATCAGCTTGACAGAAGCTTGAGTCCTCTGAGAGGAGGGAACCTCAACTTAGAAAATGCCTCCAAATGGGCTGGAGAGATGGCTCAGTGGTTAAGAGCACTGCCTGCTCTTCCAAAGGTCCTGAGTTCAATTCCCCGCAACAACATGGTGGCTCACAACCATCTGTAAAGAGGTCTGGTGCCCTCTTCTGGCCAGTAGACATACACACAGACAGAATATTGTATACATAATAAATAAATAATTTTTTTTAAAAAAAGAAAATGCCTCCAAATTATTGACCATAGGCAAGCCTGTGATTGATGGGGGAGGACCCAGGCCATTATGGGTGATACCATCCCTGGGTTGGTGGTCCTGGGTTAGGTTGAACAAGCCAGTAAGCAGCACACCTCCATGGCCTCTGTATCAGCTCCTGCCTCTTGATCTGTTTAAGTTCCTGTCCTGACTTCCTTCAATCATGGACTGCAATCTGGAAGTGGGAGTCAAATAAACCTTTTCCCCCACTTTGCTTTTGTCCATGGTGTTTGATTGAAGTAATAGAAACCCTGCCTAGGACAAACCCTAAGCAAACACTCTCCTACTCTGACCTGTTGACTGCAAGATACGCAAGCAAAATGACGGTGCAGCCAATGGTTTTGAAGTAATGTGCCAATAGAAACAAAATATTTTGAAGTTAAAGTCAGCTAGATTTGGTGATAGACTAAATATGTAGCAAGGGAGAGAAAGACAAGATGACTCTAAGAATTTGGCGTTAGCCGGGCAGTGGTGGCGCACGCCTTTAATCCCAGCACTTGGGAGGCAGAGGCAGGCAGATCTCTGTGAGTTCGAGACCAGCCTGGTCTACAAGAGCTAGTTCCAGGACAGGCTCCAAAGCCACAGAGAAACCCTGTCTCGAAAAACCAAAAAAAAAAAAAAAAAAAAAGAATTTGGCGTTAGTAGCAGGTGCAAAAACTCACGTGGGCAACTGTACCTTTTCAATAAAGTTACCAAGGTCATTCCATAAGGAAAATGGTAATCTTCTCAACAATGACTATATTAAACCTAAGTATCTATAAAGTTAGGAGCCAAGCGGTGGTGACGCACACTTTAATCCCAGCACGCAGGAGGCAGATGCAGGTGGATCTCTGAGTTCGAGGCCAGCCTGGTCTATAGCATGAGTTCCAGAACAGTCAGGGCTACACAGGGAAACCCTGTCTCAGAAAAACAAATAAACAAAAGGGAAGAAAGGTCAGGCATGGTGGTGGATACATATAATCCCAACACATGGAAGACTGAGAGAGGAGGATCAAAAATTCCAGGCCACTTTGGGCACCCTCTTCCAAACAAAAAGTTTTAAAAGATTCTATGTTGACACGTGTGTGGGTGCCCACAGAGACCAGAAGAGGGCGTTAGATCCCCTGAAGCTGGAGTTACAGGAGGCTGTGGGGTGCCCAAAGTAGATGCTGGGAACAGAACTCTGATCCTTGGCAAGAGCAGCGAGTGCTTTAACCACTGAACCATCTCTCCGGCCTTTTATCCCCCCCTTTCCTTTTTCTGTTTTAAGCCTGTGACTCGTTGTGAATTTGATTTTCGGCATGGACATCCAACAAGTCTATCACTGTATGTTCTTCAACACATTGCATTGAGCCCTTAAAAGGGAAACCAGCTGATGGCATACATGCTGATCTATTTCGGATTCACTGTGATGGTCTAGTGACCCATTTCAGTAATAAATCTATTTGCCTCTTTATCAAGGCTGGTCAGAGGTGATCCTTTTGATTGTTTGATTTTCAAGACAAGGTTTCTCTGTGTAGACCTGGCTGTCCTAAAGCTCACTCTATAGACCAGGCTGGCCTTGAACTCACAGAGATCCTTTGCCTCCTGAGTGCAGGGATTAAAGGTTTGTACCACCACACCTGGCCCTATAAAGGTGATCTTAATGTCAAGCAGATTCGCAGTTTCAAAGTTGGGTTTCTTTTCTAAATTTTATTTTTAATATTTATTTATTTTATGTGTATGTGGAATGCTTGAGTATATGAGCACAAGCTGTTGGATTTCCTGGAACTGGAGTTACAGATAATTGGGAACCAAACCTGGATCCTCTGCAAGAGCAGTAAATGTTCTTAACTGCAGCTATCTCTCCAGCCCCTTGAGTGTGTGTGTGCACAAATGTGCTGATGCCTGGAAAAGGGCATCTGATTCTCTGGAACTAGAATTACACGAGGTTGTGAGCTCCCTGATGTGGGTGCTGGGAAATGAACTTCAGTCCTCTGGAAAACCGCAGGAGCTCCTAACTGCTGAGCAACCTCTCCAGTCCCCAGCTATGTGACTCTTAAGGTCTTCTGGGACACCTTAATGTTACTTCATTATGTGAATCTGAGCTGTCTCAGTCCCTAAAGGAGAGCATTTACAGGTCAGGAGTGATGGTCCATGCCTTTAGTTCCAGCACTCAAGAGGCAGAGGCAGGTGGATCTCTGTGAGTTCGAGGCCAGCCTGGTCTACAGAGAGAGTTCCAGGACAGCCAGGGCTGTTGCATAGAGAAAGCCTGTCTTGAAAAAAAAAAAAAACAACAACCACAAAGAAGTGAGTTTATTGAAGGGTTCCTCTTCTTGGTTAGGTCTTGAAACCCAAGGTTTTCTTCTTTGACCTTAAGAGCCTGGCAGATAGTAGAGGCTTCTCACCCACAGTTTTGTTCCCCCGTGCAATGCAGTATTGCGTTTGATGAAGGCCTTCAAGGGAAGGGGACCTCCGTCAAGTCAGAGTTCAGGTTCCACCTGCCCGCCTCCTCTCTGGAACCCTGTCTCCCGGAGTCTGACCTTCCACAGCTCACCCTTGGCACTTGTTTTGATCTCTTCTGCAGCCGCCCAGCCACCCAATCTCCTTACACTGGGTTCAGCAGCCTTCCTAGTCACAGCCAGATGCCTGCAGGCCGAAATCAGATGAAGAATTTTGGCTTCCACTCCGCTTCCTTTTCATGCTCTGTCCACTCAGGTCCTAGTTAGCCAGGCAGCTCTCAGAAGAGATCATAAAGATTAAGTTTTGAAAATCTGATTTCCATTTTAATCTGTTTTCATAGAAGCATGCATTCTCCACAAACCACACCATCGTATCCAGCAAAGGAAGTCTGGATCCCTGCTTTCAACCATGTCTGTACCCTGCTTCCTCTCACGTTACCGCCTGCTAACAGTTAATGTGGATTAAAGCTAACCCCTTGTCTCCTTAACATCTGTATTTTGATTTTTTAATTAAAATTTTAGTTGTTTATGAGCGTGTGTCTGCATGTGTGCATATGTTAGGTGTGAACTGGTGTCCAAGGAAGACAGAAGAGGGTGTTAGATCACCTGGAGGCAGAGTCACAGGCTAGCCCTGTATTTTGATGTTAAGAGGCAAATCAGCTGTTGAGAGCACTTGATCTTTCAGAAGACCCAGGACTGACTCAGCACTCACATGGCTGCTCACCACTCCTATCGTATGGGATCTGATGCCCTCTTTTGCTCTCCATAGGTAGGCACACGGGTGCTACATAGACAAACATGCTAGGACAACGGACACACATGCAAGGGAAACACTCGTGTACATAAAATCAAAAGAGGGGTAGTTTTTTTGGCTGTTATTGTTTTCTTTTTCAGAGGCATCTCGAGCTGCAGAGATGCTTCTGCACTTAGGGGACCTCACCACTCTACCAAAGGAGCCAAGTTCAGTTCCCAGCACCTACATCAGGCAGCTTACAACTGCCTGTAACTCCAGCCCCAAGGGATCCAATGCCCTCTTCTGGCCTCCATGGGGACCTGCACACAAAGACATATACATAAAATGTTTCAATGATAATAGTAATAAAATACATTTTTTAAAAAGAGAAAGCTCTAGCCGGGTGGTGGTGGCGCACGCCTTTAAGCCCAGCACTCAGGAGGCAGAGGCAGGCGGATCTCTGTGAATTCGAGGCCAGCCTGGTCTACAAGAGCTAGTTCCAGGACAGGAACCAAAAAGGTACAGAGAAACCCTGTCTCGAAAATCAAAATAAATAAATAAATAAATAAATAAATAAATAGAGAAAGCTCCAACTTTACATGTTTTAAAGCAGAATTCTCTCTGGCCCCACAGATCATTTTCCCATGTTCCTCCTCATAGCCAAATACCACCCACATCTGTTCCCTTCCTCTGGCCAAAAATCTCATTTTCTTTGCTTGTGACACTGACTCCCTTCGTCTTCCTCGACATCCTTCTTACAATCCCCCATCCAGCTCAGGCCTTCATGCTGTTTTATTTGTCCTCCTTATGCTTAATAGCACCTGTGATTAGACTGTAAATAAATTATTAAGTACATTTATTTATCTGTTTATTATGTTTCCTTTTATGCAACACAATTTCCGTAATGAAAGGAGTCTGCCTCTGACTCATAGATGAATCAACATAGTCCAGACCTGTCTCTGGCGCATGTGATCTAATTATGACCTGATGGACGAGGGACTGGATTAATCAATCCTAAACTGATGAGAACAGAAGCATGCTGGACACCATGGTTACTAAAGACCGCGGCTGACCCAGAGGAGCTCTGCTCAAGGTAAGGGCGAGGACAGATTGAACTG